GGAAAGAGGGAAAGTTACAAGTTGTCTGAGAAGAATTCAGTTGAACCCTTTAAACAGTGGTCCTCAGTCTTCTCTGCACTAGAGACTGCCTTATGGAAGATAGTCCCTTTGAGGACTAGGGGTGCAGGGGCCAGTGTTTTTCCCCAAATGACCCAATCTCACCACATCCATTGTGTACCCCATTTCTACCACTACCACATTGCAGTATGCAATGAAACAATCACAATGATAGTGTTCACACTCCCATGAGAACCCAGTACTGCTGCTGATCTGAGAGGAATTGGAGCTCAGGGGGCAATGGGGAACTGCTGCAAACACAAAGCTCTGGCTTACCCTCTGCCCACCCTCCACTGCACAGGCTAGAATGGAGGAATGAGGGACTTGGGAGGGGAGGGACAACACACTGGCACGGGTCCTGGCTTGGCCTGGGACCCCTCCCTTGAAATAACACAGACAACTACTTTACATCAGGAATTTCAGGAGCATTGTGGGAGAAAACAGGTGATGGGCTGCATTGCAAATTTATTATCATTCAAAGGTTGTTTCATTTTGTAACCAAAGTCTGGAGTCTCAAACTTCACTGAGGCCATTAAAATTTACATGGACCTCTCTACCCCCCACATTTCAAGCAGCTTCAAAATGTCTTTTACTAATTAGTTCGGATTTTGTTTTGGCGATTTCCATTTCTTTCCTCAACAGAAGGAGGAAACTGAAAACCAAGCCCTTTTAGAGGATTCCTGCTCGGTTTCAAATGCTCCCCCCAAGTTAGTGGTAGGAAAGGTTACAGCTCATATGCCTTTTTGGGATTCTATTCCTTCTGATTTTTATTACAGTCTTTGGATCTGCCCTAACTCCTGTTGCTGGACATGTACTGATTCTATTTCCTTTACTCCAAGTGACTGTCCTCTTTGTCCCATCAGTATAGGTTAATGTAAAAGAAAAGATGACTTTCAAACCTTTGAATAAGGAATTCAGAGAGTCATGGGTTTATTAGCCTTTGGGCATGGAGGGAGAAGAAGAAAGTGCTAGAGCACTATTGGAGAGAGTGAGAGAGACACACACACGGCACTCCTAAGAGGAACCAGGAGGGTCTTGATGCTGCAATTCAGCCCCAGATCATGGTCCCTCTGTTTTCTTACTAACCTATCACTCTTCCTTGCTTTCCACCCTTCTGTAGCATAGATTCCTTTTCTAACACACTGTGCACTGCTCAGCTCCATTTCTTCTGCATCCTGCCTGGCCTTTTCAGTCTCATTTCCTCCTCCCTGTCACAGCTAAACTTTTTGAGTAGATTGTCTCTATTTTCCTATCTTCCACTCATGCCACATTTTAGCCAATCTTCATTAGATTCATTTTCATCAGTTTATTACTTGTTCTTTTAAAGAAATAAAATGCCAGAGGGCATGTGGGCTTGCTGGAAAGACACAGAGAGGGAAGATAAGATACTCCCTGCTCCCCTCCCCATCACCACAGGGGATGATCACACCATAGTTCTTTCTCCTCTGTGTCTTTTTTTCAGGATTTTGGGCATACATGCATGTGTGCCAGGCATGTTTTTCAAGCCACTGTGTTTGTGTCTCGAACCACGCAGTTGGCCATGTGTGATCCAGCCTTAATGACAATACCACTGGCTGGCGCCCATTCTTCATGACCTCTCACCTTGAAACACAGTTGGCTCTCCTTTAAATATTTTTTTTTCCTTGCTTCTGACCTCAAACTTCCTGTTTTCCCTTTCTATACCTGCTTGTTCCTTCTTGTCCTGTCTCTTCTCCCTCCATGCCCAACGGCTAATAAACCCATGACTCTCCTTCTTGTCCTGTACTCTCCTCCCTTCTACTCAGGCATTAGAGGAGTAGTTTTCCAGAACTCTGCCCTAGGCCTTCTTTTCACACGTTTCCTCTCAGCACGATCCACTCTTAAGGTCTTCAGTTTCTAGCCTTAGATGGGCAAATCCCAGGTTTCTGTCTCTATAAAGACCTCTTCTAAGATCCATACTTACATATGCATTCAACTCCTTGTCTGTTTGGGTTCTTTAAAGGTCCTCACACTCACCAGACTGAAATAAAGTAAGGCCTAGTCTTGGTGTAGCAGTAATGCTACATTGTACAATGCTGAAAGCCATATGGAAGCTAGGGGTTCAGTCCTGGGTCAACCTGAATGTGCCAGGTGTGAGACTCTGTGCCTGTGATCCTGGCTGGATGGAAGACTAGGCAGGGGGATCGTGGCATGAGACCCTGTTGTTTGTCTATTTCTGTCTCTTATGAAATAAATAAACATTTTATATATATATATATATATATACACACACACACACAGTTTTTACATATAATGTAGATATGAGATTACTGTAAAACATTGGGTCATTGAGAAAGTCATGATGCACTTATGCATAGAAAAACACTTCATGACCTTCCCAATGACCTAATACTCCCACTTCAAACAGAAAGTTGAAGACAATAGGCAGTTTCTCCCCACCTCACATTAATGTTCTTCCTGCCTCAGTGGATGAGGCTGTCCTCTTCCTGCCCAGCACTAACCCTACCGTCTGGTCTATATCCTGTTCTTTCCCTCAGCTGTTGGTGTTCTGTTCCTTCACTGTGTCCTTAGTCTCACACAGTGTGCTTCTTTCTCCCCTATGTATCAGAATCTTTCTCAGCTTACACAGGTCTTCACTCGACTGTGTATCTCCATTTGTTTACTGCCTTGTCTCTCTGCTTTCGTCTGTACATTCGTGCAAGTGTACCTTACACTTGTAGTCTCTACTTCCGTTCTGGAGTAAGCTCAGTGAAATTTGGTTTATAACCTTCGATTGAACCTGTTCTTAACCAAGTTATCATGGCCTCTCAGTTGTTAAATGGATACTTCTGCATCTTCATCTGCCACATCTAATTCTCTTTGACTATTTTCTTTTCAGTTACCTGTAAGGTGTCTTCTTGCTCTGCTTGTTCCTTACATGTTGGTGTTCCCCAGGTTTCACTCTCATCCTATACACTTCGTAGGTGGGCTCAGCCACACGGTTGTCTTAGATATGACAGGTAGAATTGGAATCATCATTTTTCTGACCCAGATCTTGCTTCTCTGACATTCTGTGTGAATAGGAAAAAAAATTTGGGGGGGGTAACAGATTCAGGGGAAATTGCATATTTTAGTTTTTTATTTGTCCCTTTCTTTGATTGCCGGCCTTATTTTGTCTTTTGACAACTGTTGTTATTTATTTATAGGCTTTGTTCCATTGTTACAGTATTTATCAGTTTTCTTCTCTGCTGGGAATTCCTTCCTCTTCTTTTTTCTCACTTTCCCCAAGTTTCCCCTCTACACGATTTCCCCACAGCAGGTTGCAGCAGTTGACAGGAGCAGCAGGGACTACTCTCAGCTCAGTAAGAGCCATTGAAGAGGAGGAAATGGCCCTGTTTGCTGAAAGTAAGGAGAGCTCAAGTGCTGCTCATTCCTCTTCAACTAATCTTACCAAGCTTTCGTGTTCCCAGGAGGAGGGCATGTTCCAGGTGGTTCAGTTCATCTTGTCAGCAGTTTACCTGCAGTACAGTACTCATCAGTAGTCCTTTTAAGTAGCAAAGAGTTGCTAATAGAAAGTAGCATAAGGAGGGAGACTGTGTGGTAGAGAAGTTGTCTCTGGGGTCAGTACTGCCATTTCCTAGCAATGTAACCCCTGGCTCTCTAAGCTGTGGGTTCTCCTGTAAAAGAAGGATGAGGCCAGATGGTGGTACAGTGGCAAATAGGATGTTCTGTGAGGTCGATCAATG